CAGGAGATTTGTTGGTGTAGACCAGTTGACCGTTATAGTTTCACATCCTCATGGCTGTCCTAAACAGGTCTCTGTGGGCCAATGGACACACGTACGTGAGAGGGAAGGTTTGTACACGTACACGTACACAACATGTACATGTCCAGGCTCCAGTGGAGCTGCTGTCTACATACTGGGATATGGCGGGTGGTGGTCATATCCCCACAGTGGATCAAACTCTGAAGGGAATTATAGTGGGGAGGTTGTGTTTTTGTGTTGATCCATCTGTAACTGTTAGTTCTCTCCCCTTGTCTAATGTAACTGTTGGTTCTATTCGCTTGTCTGATGTAAAAAAACAAAATGGCGGCTCCCTTGTGTGTATCAAGACTTGAATGTCTTAATCAGCAACTTTGTATTCTGGTGAAGACAAGAAATTATTAGTTTAGTTTGTTTTAGAGTTGTTAGACACATGAACAAAATTATAAACAAATGTTTATTTTTGAGAAATAAAATATTTATAGGCTATATTTGTATATTTGTTTTGTTTAAACCTCCACATTAGATTTGTCATCGCCATCATTGTCTATATGTGTATTTTAACTAGCTGCATAACCGTGCTTAACTAAACACAAAACACTTGCTCAAACATAACACAAACACAATGCAAACACAAACACAATAGAAAACACAAACACAACACAAACACAAAAGGAAACACAATGCAAACAAACACAAACGAAAACATAAACGCAACACACACACACAAAAGCAAACGCAAATAAAAACACAAATAAAAACACAAACACAATGCAAACACAAATGCATACGCAAAAAACACAAACGGAAACAGAAACTCAACACTCATAACATAAACACAACTTAAATGGAAACATAAACGCATAGTGCTTATATCAAAACTCGCAAGACCTTATTGTCTATACTCACCAAGAATCGAAGCTGGCCTTCGATATGTTTCGATGACAATACGGACAGCGCTCAAGGCTCCGTTTGGTCGCAGGTATTGGCTGCTTGTTATTAAAACGTTTTTTATGAAAAAAATTTTTAGTACTTTACATTTTTTTACTTACAGTCGAGTGTTATGACTAAAACCATTGCGCGCCTATTAAATGTGATGACGCGCTATTGAACGTGATGACGCATGTGGTGTGGTTGGATAGAAATGCCTACTAATTTGGTCAAAATATAAATTAATTCATAAAAAAATAATTAGACATCCAATTAAGTCAAATTAAATGTCACGATATATGTTATGATGTATGTTTAACTAGACAAATTGGTGCGCATGAATGCTGGTGTGAAGCTATAATATTGAACGAGTGAAAGTGTGACGCGGTACGCAAGAAAGTGACGTTTTAGTGTGAGTTCGATGTTGCCGGGGAAGAAGCTTCAATTAGTCTTGTTCGTGTTATGTTAGGGTTAGGATGTCCAGTCTTAGTATCGTTTTTTTCAAGTCGTTCAATGTTTATTCCTTATAGTGCAATAAATAGAACCAGTAAACAATGTCATTCTGTAAAATCATTTGTATGCGTTGATGTCGTCGTGTTTTAAGATAAGCTACTAACCGGATAGACATAATAAAATGGTACTGGTATCGGAATATAATATTGGATCAAGTAGTTTTACCCTCTCACTGCATAACTGTGGTACACATTAGAACCCAGTTATAACAATGTATTGTCTTCATGTCTTTACCCACGTACAAATTAAGAACCGTATCTGTCAAGTAGAGGTGCCTGCAATTTCGCCCCGGCGTTTCGATCTAGACTGACGACAGACTGACGGCTGACGACTGACGAGGAAGTTAGTTAAATAAAAGCTGGTAAAAATATAATGCTATAGAGCAGGGGTGGGCAAAGTGCGGGCTATGTGCGGCCCGCCACATTTTTTTGTGGCCCGCCAGACATTCAGAAAACTCTGCCTTGAAGTTCGTCTCGTATTTTTTCCATTAAGCGGGTGTCTGCATGCGCAGGCAGTGAAAATACGCACTTTTCCGGTTTGTTAGTTTTATTTTAGGTTTTTCTAAGCAAAAGTAAAATTTAAAAATGTCCAAGTTAAGTGAAGTCATGAACCCTCCAAAAAGCGTATCATTGGTGTTGAAGAAAGGTCATCATATTGGATGTAGTTAAAGCTTTGTCTGCCCTAACGGTCCTGATAAAGGTCAAGTACACCAGTCTAAAGAGACCAAAGTCTGTTCTATGCTTCAGAGGTCAATATCCATTTTATAACACCAGTGGAAGTGACGTGTTGAGGACAGGGACGGGGAGGGTGTGTGGTGTGGTCAAGTACACAGAGAGTGACAACAAGGGCACTTGTGCATGTGGCAAGTGTCAACACTCGGACACGCCCAGCAAAGTGTGGGGGGAGGTTCGTGTGAGGATAGCCACACATGTGGTGTTTGATGAGAGTGAGGCGAGACAGACCAGGTGTGTTGTAGGTTTTGATGACAATAAAAGTCCTGGGGTCAGTCTTGATGGCTGGTGGGTGAGGTGGGCAGACGCTGATGGAGACAGGTGTGAGTTTACACTGTGTGTCATGTGACCTAGAGCTGATTGATGAATTTGACAAGGTGTATCGGCACTTTGATGTTCTTTTGGAAAAAGTTAGTGAGAAATACACTAAATTTATTGATGTGGACAAGTTAACCCATCTTGTGTCACATCCTCATGGCTGTCCTAAACAGGTCTCTGTAGGACAATGGACACACGAACATAAGAGGGACGATGGCTGGTACAAGTACACGTACACAACATGTTCTTGTACAGGCTCCAGTTGAGTGTGTATATGTAAGGTGGCGACATCCCCACAGTGGATCAAACTCTGAAGGAAATCATAGCGGGAATGGTTGGACTTAATCTGCCTGTAATTGATAATTTTCTCTTCTTGCCTGCACAATGTTAACAAACAAACTTACGATTCCCTTGAATAAACGTGTATGTGTCAAGAGTTTAATGTTCTCATTAGCTTTGTATTCTAGTGTAGACGTGAAAGAAGTAAAAACATTGTTTAGTTTGTTAGACGTTATTAAAACATAACAAAAATTCTAAATAAATATGCAATGCAGAGGTATGTATTCTGTTCTGTTATTTTATTTAACCTGGTAGTTATTAATATATTCTTCATAGTGCCGCCCCTTTCGGAAATGATATTTAAATAAAATTTACGACACAGCCCCAGCTGCTAAAAATAAGACAACCTTACTTGAGAGAAACCACGAACTATACATTGTTAACTAATATATTTCCATGACCAATTTTATGCCACGTAAATAAGTAATTTTTTAACCTACTTTATAAACAATTCTAGACGCCCATTTGAGCGCCTTATATGACGCTGAAAACAAGGCAAGGATTGCCAAATCAAGAGAGCTTCCATTCAGCTCGAAAATCACTGGAACATCCACAGAGTTTTTTTACAAGCTTTTATTTAACTCACTTCCTCTGTCGTCAGTCGTCAGCCTAGATCGAAACGCAGGAGTGAAAATTCGGAAACTTCTACTTGACCGATACGATTCACATTTGACACGTGGGTCAAGACATGAAGGCAATGCAATCTTAAATTAAATTTGACTTAATTGGATGCCTAATTAAATTTTTTATGAATTAATTAAAATTTGGACCGAATTAGTAGGCATGTCTAGCCAACCACACCACACGCGTCATCACCTTCAATAGCTGCGCCATCACGGTACGTTCAATAGCTGCGCCATCACGTTCAGTAGGCGCGCAATGGTTTTTAGTCATGTAACTCTATTGTAAATAAATCATGTAAAGTACTGAAAAAAAATTCATAAAAAACGTTTTAATAACAAGCTTTTATGTAATAATGCACTAAAAAGTAGAAAATAAATTATAGACTACTATTTAAATAACTATAAAGAAAAGCGTGGGTGTCTTCCTTAACATTAGTAAAGGTATCCAATAGATACTAAAGTGACCCACGCTTTTTTTATAGTAATTTAAATAGTAGTCTATAGTTTATTTTCTACTTTTTAGTGCATTGTTACATAAAAGCTTGTTATTAAAACGTTTTTTATGAATTTTTTTCATTATGGATATATTTTTTTATTTATTAATGGAGCACATTCTAGATATATGTTAGTGTCTGACATTAAACGTAACACCCATTGTAAGGTAATATTGTCGTTTGTATCATAGATAGAAGTAGGGCTAGGATTAGGTTTAGGGGTTGGAAACTTTCGAAAAGGAAGTGTTTAATCTACTTTTTTTCCCGGTTCGACGGGTAATCCGTTACATTGAATGCAGAGGAACAGTAGGAAACACGATTTCTTTCAGACAATTAGTGTCCTAATTCTAGATTTAAAAATTTCATATAGGGATTAATTACCATGTAGAGTAAATTGAAAGGGTTAAATTATTTGTGTGTTTGGGGGGGGGGGGGTATGGTACGATAGGGTTAGGGTATGGTATGGTATGGTATGGTATGGTATGGTTATGGTACGGTATGGTACGGTATGGTACGGTACGGTACGGTACGGTACGGTACGGTACGGTGCGGTACGTTACGGTGCGGTGCGGTACGTTACGGTGCGGTACGGTACGGTACGGTACGGCACGGTACGGTACGGTCAGTACGTACGGTACGGTACGGTAAGGTACGGTACGGTACGGTACGGTACGGTACGATACAGTACGGTACGGTATGGTACGGTATGGTACGGTGCGGTATGTTATGGTATGGTATGGTACGGTACGGTAAGGTAGGGTACGGTACGGTACGGTACGGTACCTTGCGGTGCCGTAGGGTGCGGTGCCGTAGGGTGCGGTGCCGTAGGGTGCGGTGCGGTACGGTACGGTACGGTACGGTACGGTACGGTACGGCACGGTACGGTACGGCACGGTACGGTACGGTACGGTACGGTGCGGTGCGGTGCGGTACGGTACGGTGCGGTACGGTACGGTACGGTACGGTGCAGTGCAGTGCGGTACGGTACGGTACGGTACGGTATGTTTTGATTTCTGAACTATAATTTCCATGTCATAATGGGGATTGTGGAGAATTATGAGGTATGTTTTGTTTCTGAACTCTAAAACGTCACAAATTTGTAAGAAAATGATTAATTTCTGGTAGTTAAATTCATCGACTGAGTTGCTTTCTGGCATCTCTTAGCCCCTCCCCCTCAGGAGAATAATGCCAGAAAAAAAACCACTGATGCACCAATTAATTAATCTACAGTTGTCTATGCATAGGCTGTCCAATAAACTATTAAGATTATAGATAATATATCCATAAAACCCTGAGTTTAGTCATCTCACCTGATCTACATACTGTACAGCTGTACATTTGTTAAGTCCTACATCATCACCTACCACCCGTGTATACAAGCCTACTATGGGAAGGTTTTTAGTTTTTTGATGCCTGGTTGGTGTTTTTTTTCTACACATTGATAGCAAACGTTTTTACGTAATTTAATTTGTTAACAGTGTTTTGTGTACTGTTTCAGAGAATTCGTGACTTCAGCATAGCTGTTGTTGGTGTGGGTGGTGTTGGCAGTGTGACAGCTGAGATGTTGACTCGCTGTGGTATTGGCAAGGTCAGCAGTTTGGGACGTGTGTTTAGAGGAAGTTTGTAGTACTTAGGTTTTTGTGCAATTATTTGACAAAACGGCATAACTCTTAATATCAAGCTAATTACTAGTGATGATGCTATTAACTACCTTAAGGACATGGGCGGGTGATGAATACTAAATTAGCCAGAAATGCTTATTTCTAAACCTATTGCTATAATATTTAGCATATATTTATAGCTCAAAGAGTTAAGTCTAAAAATTAAAAAATGGCCGACAATTTCCTGAAGTAGCCATGGTGATGGTGACCATCTACTGTGGTGAATCCCAATATTACTACCCTGCTGTTTGACTGAGCCCTACAGCTACTTTTACTACGTCCCTACAACTACCAATGCCCTATGTCTATGCCCCTACAGCTGCTGTTGTTTGACTATGCCCCTACAGCTGCTGTTGTTTGACTATGCCCTATGTCTATGCCCCTACAGCTGCTGTTGTTTGACTATGCCCTATGTCTATGCCCCTACAGCTGCTGTTGTTTGACTATGCCCCTACAGCTGCTGTTGTTTGACTATGCCCTATGTCTATGCCCCTACAGCTGCTGTTGTTTGACTATGTCTATGCCCCTACAGCTGCTGTTGTTTGACTATGCCCTATGTCCATGCCCCTACAGCTGCTGTTGTTTGACTATGCCCCTACAGCTGCTGTTGTTTGACTATGCCCTATGTCTATGCCCCTACAGCTGCTGTTGTTTGACTATGTCTATGCCCCTACAGCTGCTGTTGTTTGACTATGCCCTATGTCCATGCCCCTACAGCTGCTGTTGTTTGACTATGCCCTATGTCTATGCCCCTACAGCTGCTGTTGTTTGACTATGCCCTATGTCTATGCCCCTACAGCTGCTGTTGTTTGACTATGTCTATGCCCCTACAGCTGCTGTTGTTTGACTATGCCCTATGTCTATGCCCCTACAGCTGCTGTTGTTTGACTATGCCCTATGTCTATGCCCCTACAGCTGCTGTTGTTTGACTATGCCCTATGTCTATGCCCCTACAGCTGCTGTTGTTTGACTATGCCCTATGTCTATGCCCCTACAGCTGCTGTTGTTTGACTATGCCCTATGTCTATGCCCCTACAGCTGCTGTTGTTTGACTATGCCCTATGTCTATGCCCCTACAGCTGCTGTTGTTTGACTATGACAAGGTGGAGCTGGCTAACATGAACAGGCTGTTCTACCAGCCGCACCAAGCTGGTCTCAGCAAGGTCGAGGCTGCAGAGAGGACGCTCAGGTAGATCACATTTTGTAGAGCCACAGGTAATTCACATTTTGTAGACCCATCAGGTAAATCACATTTTGTAGAGCCATCAGGTAAATCACATTTTGTGGAGCCACAGGTAAATCACATTTTGTAAAGCCATCAGGTAAATTACATTTTGTGGAGCCACAGGTAAATCACATTTTGTAAAGCCACAGGTAAATCACATTTTGTAGAGCCACAGGTAAATCACATTTTGTAGAGCTATGGGTCAATCACATTTTGTGAACACATATTTTGAATGTTTACATGCAGCTTAGTTGTAGTAACTAAAAGCCTAATTGGGGGGGGGGGGGTTCATTCATATATTATGTCCTCCTTATAATTCCCCTGGTTGAAGTTAAAACATTACACCCTTGACACTTACATGAACTTTGTGTACTTTAACCTTTTTATACCAGTAAACAGCCCTTCAGCTTTGTTGATCAGTTGATTGTTCTCTGCAAATATTACAATAGAGTAACAAAGTTGATTAAATAATTTGTATGTAATTATTAATGTATGGACAGGAAGATTTTATTTGCTCACACAAGTTTGCTTTATTTGGATGTTGATTTATTAAATGTTTGAATCAATCTTTCATGTTTCAGAGAAATCAACCCAGATGTTGAGTTTGAAGTTTACAACTACAACATTACAACAGTTGATAACTTTCAACATTTCATGGACAGAATCAGGTGAGGTTCCCTAGCTCTGATCTAACTTTAACAAGAAAGTAAACAATTACAGTTGTCTTCTACTGGGATTTAGACAATATACGCACTGTAACACCCAGCAATTTCATATTTTAATTTCCAGACGTGACCTGCCTGCTACAAAAAATCCACTGAATTTAGCTATTTTAATTAATAAACCGGGAGTGATCTCCCCTAAACTTTCTCGAATATTATTATATAAAATAACAGGGGATGGGAACTCGGGCTATAGACATGATTTTTAATCCATTTTAAATACTTAAAGTTTTAAAAATAGAATAAAATCTCGTAGACAAATTAATTGCACACCAAGTGAACGCGAAATAAAAAAGCGCATAATAGTGCGCAATATTATTAGTACTTTTAAAATTTACATTAGTTTTTTGAGAAATAGGAAGTAGCGTGAAGTACTACTTCCATTCAACGGAAATTACTCAAAATTTAACAGATGGTAGAGAATTAGATCTTTTACTTACATGTGAAATTTCATTTATCTATCTGAAATAGTACTCAAGTTATAGGCTTTTGAAAAATTCAAAGTAGGAAAAGTACCACTTCCGGTTATCAGAAATCGCTCAAAAGTTGATACGGATCTACGATTTTGATAAAATACTTATATATGAAATTTCATCAACCTAGCTGTAATGGTACTCAAGTTATCGTGTTTACACACGGACAGACAGACACACAGACACACAGACATACGGACAAGATTGCAAAATTATGTTTTTCCGTATCAGTGAGGTGTAAAACGTCGAGATTTGTAAAAATCTTGATTTTTTTTTTTTTGCACGATTACAAGACTTTCTCTATACTTCGTATATACGAGAAAGTAAAAAAGGAGAAAATAGTTTTTGCTGCTTTTCTTGCCTCTTTTTAGTTCACAAGTTGATATATTCTGTATCATCTTTGCATCACTAAATGCAATAATCTGTGTGGTGGATACACATATATGACCATGAATAATTTACATACTTGTCTCGATATTCTTAACTTTTTGTCCTTTGTTTTATTTTCAGGCTGGGTGGCAAACAGCAGGACACACCTGTTGACCTAGTTCTCACCTATTGACCTAGTTCTGATGACCTTTGTTTTATTTTCAGGCTGGGTGGCAAACAGCGGGACATGCCTGTTGACCTAGTTCTCACCTATTGACCTAGTTCTGATGACCTTTGTTTTATTTTCAGGCTGGGTGGCAAACAGCAGGACACGCCTGTTGACCTAGTTCTCAGCTGTGTCGACAACTTTGAAGCTCGTATGGCAATTAACACAGTAGGTTTGAGATGTTTTTCTACATGTATTTACATTTATTGTTGTCTACATCATGAAATTGAATAAATTTGAATGTCAGGAAGTTTTAAACTTATTGATTTTAAGTTTTGTCAAGTGCAAAAAAATAAATTTAAAAAAAACAATTTTTATCAAATGTGAAGAAATTAAAACAAATTTTGTTGTTCACATTTAGCTAAACATGGTATTGCTTTTAGTGATTCAAGACTAAGTCAAAGTTGAACAATAATGATGGTGTTTTGTAAAGTTTAAGCCTTGTTATAGATTACATTCTTGTAATTCTGTTTATCACTTTCTGTTTAAGTAAAAGCTTGTGGTCAACTGTTTCAGGCCTGCAATGAACTGGGTCAGTCGTGGTTTGATTAAAATCTTGTGGTCAGTCGTGGTTTGATTAAAATCTTGTGGTCAACTGTTTCAGGCCTGCAATGAACTGGGTCAGTCGTGGTTTGAGTCTGGGGTCAGTGAAAACGCTGTGTCTGGTCACATCCAGTTTATTGTACCTGGGGACACCTCATGCTTCGCTGTAAGTTGTGTGTGTCAGTGTAAGTCACAAGAACTCAACTAATCCAACTAATCTCCTATGTTACACTTTACCCCAGTGTGCCACGACACACCCACACAGATGTGAGAACTCAACTGATCTAATTTCTAATCTCCTATGTTACACTTTACCCCAGTGTGCCACGACACACCCACACAGATGTGAGAACTCAACTGATCTAATTTCTAATCTCCTATGTTACATTTTACCCCAGTGTGCCCCCCACCCACACAGATGAGAGGACTCAACTGATCTAACTACTAATATACTATGTTACACTTTACCCCAGTGTGCCCCCCCTCCCACACAGATGAGAGAACTCAACTGATCTAACTTCTAATCTCCTATGTTACACTTTACCCCAGTGTGCCCCTCCACTAGTCGTGGCCACCCACACAGATGAGAGGACCCTGAAGAAAGAGGGTGTGTGTGCGGCTAGCCTCCCCACCACCATGGCTGTTGTTGCTGGGTTCCTGGTCCAGAATGTCCTCAAGTAAGTCACTAGCTGGTCCAGAATGTTAATATCCTAATATATAAAACCCCACGTTCGCACTTCTCTCTCTCTCTGTCTGTCCGCAAAATATTTTCGCCGGACATCACGTCAGAATTGGCAGCGATATTTGGATACCTTTATACGGACTTTTTTTGAAAATAATGTCTTAGATGTTTTAAATGTATAACCACAATTTTATTTAAAGAAGAAAAATAAAAAAAAATTTGAATGTAGAGAAACAGTATTATTTATGCAACCGGAAAAGTGTATAAACTTGGGACAAGAACGCATTTAACAATGACGTCGCTTGTTTACACAAAAACAAGAGCACGAAACTGATGACGTCATCTTCCGAGTTTAGAATGTTAAAAAATGAACTATTTCATTCAAATATGATTTAGAGCTATGTACGCTATGAAATGTAGACTACACAATACGATATTCTCGGCCTAAACTTAAAAAAAATATTTTATCTATTTGGATTCTAGATCTAGAGATTCTAGATCTAGACTAGATCTAAATCTACGCTACGTCGCTAAGATCTATTCTAGATCTAGATTTAGACTCTATCTACTGTAGAATCAATTCCAAAAATAAATTTCTATAATAAACTTTTTCAGGACTTAAATATTTTATAGAAATCTTTGTTTCTTTAGCAATGAAACTGGCTAATTTTGGGTAAAAAAATTATTTGAAAAAATAGGCATATTAGTGTAAGTTATTTTTTTAAACACTTCTTTTATTCTCCATATTTTAAAAGGTACCTAATTAGCTGAGATGATAGTGTACTTGATACCAGGCAGGTGGTGCTGGATCAAGATACACAAAGTCAAACCTAATTTTTTTTTATATATGTGAATCTTCCTATTTTAGACTATAAAGAAAGGAACTACTTTGGCAATCTTTGTTTATCTATGCAATTTGCTAATCTCTATAATATATGAAGCAAAGTTGTCGGGTGCCCGACATCGGGCACTTCCCGGCGCCGCAGGCGCTTCAAATTTGGCAGGATCTTGCCTTGGGGCGACAGAACACGGGGGCCGGTTGGCCGAAAAGTCTACGATGAGGGGGTCAAAACAGACCTCGACTGACCGGCGCCTTATATGAGCTATAAATCGAAAAAAAAATTGTCCACGTAGGAACCTCTTCATAACTCCTGAGGTCGTAGACCGACCCTCGGGCAAATTAATTAAGCATTCAAATTCTCAATGTTTTTGAAAGCCTAAGCGAAGCTGGGCAGCATGCCTAGTTTAAAATAAAAGTAAGAATTAGTTAGCCACTAAACCACAACTATCCTTCACCTCCCTGACTCTACCATCCCACCACCTCACCTGACTCTACCATCCCACCACCTCACCTGTCTCTACCCTCCCACAGGTACCTGCTCCAGTTCGGATCTGTCTCCTACTACCTGGGCTACAATGCCCTCCAGGATTTTTTCCCCACCATGAGGATGAAGCCCAACCCCCAGTGTGATGACTCACATTGTCGCAGACAACAGCAGCTGTTCCAGGTCTGTCCTCACGTCAATAGACTATGTCAGTTCCTGGGGTCATATGTCAGTTCCTGGGGTCACATGTCAGTTCCTGGGGTCACATGTCAGTTCCTGGGGTCACATGTCAGTTCCTGGGGTCACATGTCAGTTCCTGGGGTCACATGTCAGTTCATGGGGTCACATGTCAGTTCCTGGGGTCACATGTCAGTTCCTGGGGTCACATGTCAGTTCCTGGGGTCACATGTCAGTTCATGGGGTCACATGTCAGTTCCTGGGGTCACATGTCAGTTCCTGAGGTCACATGTCAGTTCATGGGGTCACATGTCAGTTCCTGGGGTCACATGTCAGTTCCTGGGGTCACATGTCAGTTCCTGGGGTCACATGTCAGTTCCTGGGGTCACATGTCAGTTCCTGGGGTCACATGTCAGTTCCTGGGGTCACATGTCAGTTCCTGGGGTCACATGTCAGTTCCTGGGGTCACATGTCAGTTCCTGGGGTCACATGTCAGTTCCTGGGGTCACATGTCAGTTCCTGGGGTCACATGTCAGTTCCTGGGGTCACATGTCAGTTCCTGGGGTCACATGTCAGTTCCTGAGGTCACATGTCAGTTCCTGGGGTCACATGTCAGTTCCTGGTGTCATATCTTTACCCCAGATTTATATTTTCCAATCATTTTCCCATCTGATAAACACCTTTCAATGGCTGAAATTTTTTCAAGATAAAATTTGAAAGCTATTCAGCCATACATTTTTAAAAATCATTATACTTTTTTCCCCATTTAATCACTGGCAACTTAAGTAGAAGTAGAATTAGCAATTGTTTATTTATGGATTTTTAATTAAATGATTTTTGCACCCTGCATTACCCCACCCCACCCTGTATTACACCACTCCATCCTGTATTATTACCCCACTCCACTATTTGTTAATACCCCACTCCACCCTATATTACCCCACTCCACTATTTGTTAATACCCCACTCCACCGTGTGTTTCCCCACTCCACCCTATATCACCCCACTCCACCATGTGTTACCCCACTCCACCCTATATCACCCCACTCCACCCTGTATTATTAGCCCACTCCACTATTTGTTAATACCCCACTCCACCAAGTGTTAATCCACTCCACCCTATATTACCCTGCTCCACCATGTGTTACCCCACTCCACCCTATATTACCCTGCTCCACCATGTGTTACCCCACTCCACCCTATATTACCCTGCTCCACCATGTGTTACACCACTCCACCGTGTGTTACAGGAGAGAGAAGCCGCTAGACCAAAGACAGACAAGCAGGAGAAAGTGGAGGAGGTGGCTGTGGTACATGAGGAGAATGAGTGGAGTAAGTTGATTGTTATGTGGGGGGGGTCCCATAGATTAGATTATCTAGTTGTTTCATTTTGTGGTGGAGGCATCTAATTTTTCTTTTATATGTTGTCCTATGATGTCATGTATTCCCCGTGATGCCGAATTCTCGAGTTCAAATCTGGGTCCATGTCAGTAGGAAGTCCCTGAGTCCACCCAGCTCTGATGGGTACCTGTCGCGTGTTTGGGAAAGTAAAAGCAGCTTGGCAAAGTGCTGACCACACCTTCCCTTAATGTGCTGAGGTCAAGAAGCATAATATGAACACTGCTAATCTACCCAATAGATTGCTAGGTCTAAAGAAGATTCTTTAGTTTACTTTACATTCCCCCATTTGCATATATTACCATGATGCCATGTATTCACCTAATGTCATATTCTCTCTGTACCTGTTAATTGAGGTTATGATGTCATATACTCCCACTGATGTTATGCATTCCCCTGATGTCATATACTCCCCCAATGTCATGTATTCCCACTGTACCTGCAATTCCCCTGATGTCATGTATTTTCCCTGATGTCATATTCTCTCTGAAGTCATATATTCCCCTGTACCTGCAGGTATAGAGATTATGATGACATATACTCATCCTGATGTCATGTACTCCCCCAATGTCATATACTCCCCCAATGTCATGTATTCCCTCTGTACCTGCAGGTATAGAGATTGTAGCTGAGACAACAGAAGAAGAAGCTCTGGCAGCTGAAGGTAAAAAACCAGAGCTGACAGAAGGAGTTACAGTGGCTTACACTAAGCCTGCCACACAGGTGAGTTAACCTGTCACACAGGTGAGTTAACCTGCCACGCAGGTGAGTTAACCTGTCACACAGGTGAGTTAACCTGCCACACAGGTGAGTTAACCTGCCACACAGGTGAGTTAACCTGCCACACAGGTGAGTTAACCTGCCACACAGGTGAGTTAACCTGCCACACAGGTGAGTTAACCTGCCACACAGGTGAGTTAACCTGCCAGACAGGTGAGTTAACCTGCCACACAGGTGAGTTAACCTGCCACACAGGTGAGTTAACCTGCCACACAGGTGAGTTAACCTGTCACACAGGTGAGTTAACCTGTCACACAGGTGAGTTAACCTGCCACACAGGTGAGTTGACATACCTATCCTTTTGTTAAGTTAATCCATTGTTTATATATACCCACCAAAGAGCTTGTCTAACCATGTTTTCTCTACACCAAAAAGCTTGTCTAACCATGTTTTCTCTACACCAAAGAGCTTGTCTAACCATGTTTTCTCCCCACCAAAGAGCTTGTCTAACCATGTTTTCTCTACACCAAAGAGCTTGTCTAACCATGTTTTCTCTACACCAAAGAGCTTGTCTAACCATGTTTTCTCCCCACCAAAGAGCTTGTCTAACCATGTTTTCTCTACACCAAAGAGCTTGTCTAACCATGTTTTCTCTACACCAAAGAGCTTGTCTAACCATGTTTTCTCTACACCAAAGAGCTTGTCTAACCATGTTTTCTCTACACCAAAGAGCTTGTCTAACCATGTTTTCTCTAAAGCAAAGAGCTCGTCTAACCATGTTTTCTATACAGCAAAGAGCTTGTCTAACCATGTTTTCTCTACACCAAAGAGCTTGTCTAACCATGTTTTCTCTACAACAAAGAGCTTGTCTAACCATGTTTTCTCTACAACAAAGAGCTTGTCTAACCATGTTTTCTCTACACCAAAGAGCTTGTCTAACCATGTTTTCTCTACACCAAATAGCTTGTCTAACCATGTTTTCTCCCCACCAAAGAGCTTGTCTAACCATGTTTTCTCTACACCAAAGAGGTTGTCTAACCATGTTTTCTCCCCACCAAAGAGCTAGTCTAACCATGTTTTCTCTACACCAAAGAGCTTGTCTAACCATGTTTTCTCTACACCAAAAAGCTTGTCTAACCATGTTTTCTCCCCACCAAAGAGCTAGTCTAACCATGTTTTCTCTACACCAAAGAGCTTGTCTAACCATGTTTTCTCCCCACCAAAAAGCTTGTCTAACCATGTTTTCTCCCCACCAAAGAGCTTGTCTAACCATGTTTTCTCTACACCAAAGAGCTTGTCTAACCATGTTTTCTCCCCACCAAAGAGCTTGTCTAACCATGTTTTCTCCCCACCAAAGAGCTTGTCTAACCATGTTTTCTCTACACCAAAGAGCTTGTCTAACCATGTTTTCTCCCCACCAAAGAGGTTGTCTAACCATGTTTTCTCTAAAGCAAAGAGCTCGTCTAACCATGTTTTCTCTACACCAAAGAGCTTGTCTAACCATGTTTTCTCTACACCAAAGAGCTTGTCTAACCATGTTTTCTCTACACCAAAGAGCTTGTCTAACCATGTTTTCTCTACACCAAAGAGCTTGTCTAACCATGTTTTCTCCCCACCAAAGAGCTTGTCAAACCATGTTTTCTCTACACCAAAGAGCTTGTCTAACCATGTTTTCTCTACACCAAAGAGCTTGTCTAACCATGTTTTCTCTACACCAAAGAGGTTGTCTAACCATGTTTTCTCCCCACTAAAGAGCTTGTCTAACCATGTTTTCTCTACACCAAAGAGCTTGTCTAACCATGTTTTCTCCCCACCAAAGAGCTTGTCTAACCTTGTTTTCTCCCCACCAAAGAGCTTGTCTAACCATGTTTTCTCTACACCAAAGAGCTTGTCTAACCATGTTTTCTCCCCACCAAAGAGCTAGTCTAACCATGTTTTCTCTACACCAAAGAGGTTGTCTGACCATGTTTTCTCCCCACCAAAGAGCTTGTCTAACCATGTTTTCTCCCCACCAAAGAGCTTGTCTAACAAATTTTTTCTCCCCACCAAAGAGCTTGTCTAACCATGTTTTCTCTACACCAAAGAGCTTGTCTAACCATGTTTTCTCTACACCAAAGAGCTTGTCTAACCATGTTTTCTCTACACCAAAGAGCTTGTCTAACCATGTTTTCTCCCCACCAAAGAGCTTGTCTAACCATGTTTTCTCCCCACTAAAGAGCTTGTCTAACCATGTTTTCTCTACACCAAAGAGCTTGTCTAACCATGTTTTCTCCCCACCAAAGAGCTTGTGTAACCATGTTTTCTCTACACCAAAGAGCTTGTCTAACCATGTTTTCTCTACACCAAAGAGCTTGTCTAACCATGTTTTCTCTACACCAAAGAGCTTGTCTAACCATGTTTTCTCCCCACTAAAGAGCTTGTCTAACCATGTTTTCTCTACACCAAAGAGCTTGTCTAACCATGTTTTCTCCCCACCAAAGAGCTTGTGTAACCATGTTTTCTCTACACCAAAGAGCTTGTCTAACCATGTTTTCTCTACACCAAAGAGCTTGTCTAACCATGTTTTCTCTACACCAAAGAGCTTGTCTAACCATGTTTTCTCTACACCAAAGAGCTTGTCTAACCATGTTTTCTCTACACCAAAGAGCTTGTCTAACCATGTTTTCTCTACACCAAAGAGCTTGTCTAACCATGTTTTCTCCCCACCAAAGAGCTTGTGTAACCATGTTTTCTCTACACCAAAGAGCTTGTCTAACCATGTTTTCTCTACACCAAAGAGCTTGTCTAACCATGTTTTCTCCCCACCAAAGAGCTTGTCTAACCATGTTTTCCCCCTTGACATCTGATACAGGAGGTGGACGTGACTGAGTTTGTTCCTGCCACAGAGTTGAGTTTACAAGACCTGATGAAACAGATGCAGAACTTGTAACATCAAGTCACTGGCAACATTTAGGCTGTGTAATTAATTCAATTAATGTCTGATCACTCTCAACACTTAGGCGGTGTAATTAATACAATTAATTAATGTCTCATCACTCTCAACATTTAGGTGGTGTAATTAATTCAAACATGTCTAATCACTGTGTATTTATTCCTCATGTGATATACTCTGATGTATGTCTGTGTATGTTAAAGTCATCTGATGTATGTCTGTGTATGTTAAAGTCATCTAATGTATGTCTGTGTATGTTAAAGTCATCTGATGTATGTCTGATCCATAAAGTCTGATGTATGTCTGTGTATGTTAAAGTCATTTGATGTATGTCTGTGTATGTTAAAGTCATCTGATGTATGTCTGTGTATGTTAAAGTCATCTGATGTATGTCTGATCCATAAAGTCTTATGTATGTCTGTGTATGTTAAAGTCATTTGATGTATGTCTGTGTATGTTAAAGTCATTTGATGTATGTCTGTGTATGTTAAAGTCATCTGATGTATGTCTGTGTATGTTAAAGTCATCTGATGTATGTCTGATCCATAAAGTCTTATGTATGTCTGTGTATGTTAAAGTCATTTGATGTATGTCTGTGTATGTTAAAGTCATCTGATGTATGTCTGTGTATGTTACAGTCATCTGATGTATGTCTGTGTATGTTAAAGTCATCTGATGTATGTCTGATCCAGAAAGTCTGATGTTTGTCTGTGTATGTTAAAGTCATCTAATGTATGTCTGATCCAGAAAGTCTGATGTATGTCTGGGTCTGATACTTGACCATTTAAGTATTGTATATCAAAGTATGGCTAGTTCAGCTGTAAAACATTTCAAAATTCATGTTTTATATTGATGTTTACTATTTTTTATTTATTTCACATTCAACTGGGAAGAATGTAAGTTGCTATGAATAGAATCTACAGTTTTGGTTAAACAAAAATGTAAGTGTCCACAGCAAGACATGAATAATTATCTAGAATTAGAACATTTGATTTAAGATCTTTAATTTGATATCGAGATCACTTACCAATGTAAATTGATAGACAATTTATTTTTTAAATGTTTGTTACAAATATCATGTTTGCCTCTCTAATTTTTTACTTTTGAACATGCACTCAATTGTGATGGTTGGAACATAAACAGTATCAGTGTGGAAAAATTAAAAATAACTGATTCCTTCATATGATGGTAGAATCCTGAAATATACTTTTAAGAAAAAACCAAGTTCTTTCAGTTTGAACAGACAACTTTAGTACAGCTACCGGGCAGGAAACTATATTATAAATGTGCGGAATGAATTGATTATTTGAGTTGATGCATTCTCTAACTGTAATAGTCTGGTTTTATCTGTGGTGTGAATGACGCCATACAACTGACATTATTGACATATTAAATTTTGTTTTTCTGTCATTATTGAGCAGCCATCAAACACATGTTTATGTAAGATTTTTTTTTTACTGCTGCTAGCAAATGTTACATAGAGTGAACTAAGAACAACAAAGTTCAATTGATTAATTTTGCATTCTTTTATTTTGGTTAATAGAAGAGGATTCTCTGGTGTTGTTCAGATATAGGAAATTGGAGAACAAAATCCTAGACTCATTTGCCTGACAATATCTGGCACAAGATGTCTGACCACTGGAGACCATGTCAGTTTGACCTACGTAACTAATTGTGTAGTGATATTTAAGCCCAGCAGTATAAAACTTGTACTAGTCAACACTCAATCAACCAGCCATTAGAGAATGTGAATAGTTTTAGTGGTCTGTAGCTAATGGCCTAGGATTGTATCTTCATGTTAATAAATAAAGGTGTGCTTTAGCACTTATTTATTGTGCTTCCTGTGTCTCCACTATCATATAGTCACATTATAGTGTATGTCCTACACATTATGTTTGTCCTACATGTCCTATGCCTGATTGTGTCAGTTTACCATGAACTTTATTATAACTGATGTAATGTTGATCTTTGATTTGTATATATTTTGTTTTCTAATTTCTAGCATTATGCTCAATAAATCATGGTTGTATTTTACTTATCATAATTCATGTGATTTGTCTTGGTTTTGGTTGTATACTGTTATAATAAACATGATGGAAAATGTTTCCTGTGTTTGACAATTTTTTTTCTTTACTTGAAGTATCTGTGTGTGATTCCTGATCTAGGCTGTGACTTTTGTGGTTGTTACCACAGGACGTGTGGTTGTACCACAGGACGTGTGGTTGTACCACAGGACATGAGTGGTTTTTACCACAGGACATAAAAGAATAAAAATGGATAGGGTTACATGTAAGCTAGTAATGCAATTATTATTACTTTCTCGTATATACGAAGTATAGAGAAAGTATTGTAATCGTGCAAAAAAAAAAATCGAGATTTTTAGACATTTTACACCTCACTGATACGGAAAAACATAATTTTGCAATCTTGTCTGTGTGTAAACACGATAACTTGAGTACCGTTACAGCTAGGTTGATGAAATTTCATATAGAAGTATTTTATAAAATTGGAGATCCTGATCCACTTTTGAGCGATTTCCGATAACCAGAAGTGCGTGCGGCGTCAATTCGGCCAATGACGAAACGGCCCCGTCAAAACGACCCCGACAAAACGACCCCGTCAAAACGACCCCGTCAAATCGGCCCCGTCAAAAGGGCCAGCGACATATGGACCCCGTCATATAGGCTCCCGACAAATAGGCTCCCGTCATTTAGGCTACCGACAAATAGGCTCCCGTTATATAGGCTCCCGACAAAAGGGCTCCAGTCAATAAGGCTCCTGACAAATAGGCTCCCGTCATTTTGGCTCCCGACATATAGTCTCCCGTCATTTAGTTTTTTCCACAAAACGGCCCCCGTCATTACGACTCCCGACAAATAGGCTCCCGCCATTTAGTTTCTCCACAAAACGGCCCCCGTCATTACGACTCCCGACAAATAGGCTAGCGTCATTTTGGCTCCCGACAAAAGGCTCCTGTCAATTTGGCTCCAGACAAAAGGACCACTGACACAGTGGCGTAGCTACCGTAAAGCTAGCGTAAGCAAGGCATGGGGGCCCAAGGCACATAGGGGCCCTTTTCCCTCATAAAAAATTAAAACTTTTACAATGGAATTTTAATATTTGTTACATATAAATAATTTTAAAAAAGAAAAAGGTTAAAAGTTCCAAAAAGCCCCCCCCCCCCCCCCCCCCCCCACCGTTTCGGCAGTGGGATTCAGTGTTTGTGGGTCAAACAGAGCCCAATCGTTATAATAACACTACAGGCTATATCACTTTGTCGTGCAAGACATTGAGAGAATCAGCCTATAAAAAAACTTTTTAGCAGTAGTAGGCAAGCATAATAATATAGTATAAATACAAAATCAGGACATATAAAATACAAAATGTTGCCTTCAGAATATTTATATATTAAAAATATCCATCGTAAGTAGAAGTTGATCTCTTCGTTTAACTCCTCTGTAGCCTAACGCAGAGGCGTAGCGAAGGCGAGGCGGGGGGTGCGGACCGCAACGGGTGACACCATTTAGGGGGGGGGGGTGACACCAAAGACAAAAAATTGTAAAATTTATAGAATGAAATGCCATTTTCCAGATCCATTAGTTAAAGTTAAATAGTCTTCTAAGTACAAATCGAAAATTATATCAAGAGGGGGGGGGGGGGGGGGGGGGTGACACCACGACGTAAACGTAAACTATAAAGAAAACAATGCTACATCCAACTGTATTATAAACAGACTGTAGATAAACATCGTTACTATTAAGTCAGCAGTGATTAAAGCTTAAACACGTACGTGTACCAGTATGTGGCATATAATATATATATACATTTTAGGCCTATGTAGGCCGACACACACACACACACATATATATATATATATATATATATATATATATATATATATATATATATATATATATATATATATATATATATTATAAATATTATATATATATACATATATATATACATATATATATATATATATATATATATATATATATATATATATATATATATATATATATATACATATATATATACATATATATATATATATATATATATATATATATATATATATATATGTATATGTATACATATATATATATATATATATATATATATATATATATATATATATATATATATATATATATATATATATATATATATATATATATATATATATATATATATATATATATATATATATATATATATATATATATATATATATATATATATATATATATATATATATATATATATATATATATATATATATATATATATATATATATATATATATATATATATATATATATATATATATATGCTTTGTTTCCTGGGAGGGGGTGACAATACGAAGTGCCGCACCGGGTGAGACCCGACCTAGCGACGCCACTCGCCTAACGGCTGACGAAGGGGCCCACTGATAATTTTTGCATAGGGGCCCAAAAATCCTAGCTACGCCACTGCACTGACAATACCGTTTCTGTAGAGACTAAGTCTCCCGGCAAAGCGGTCTCATTGAATATGACATCTGCCAGTGGGACCCCTTCATCAATATTCTTTAGAGTTAGCTTATCCAACACTCTTATGTAATACAACGTATGCATCTCTTGTTCGGCAGGCCTTATTTTTATATTAGTTTATCTATTATAAAATATAGTATGTTTTAATTTAAGGGTCATCTATCTATGACATCCATAATTGAGTCGGTTATAGGCTGTTCCAACTCATTGTGTGGGGAGAAGGGTCCACGCTGTACCTTCCTAACTATAATATGCTTGTACAGGGGCGTAGCGAGGGGGGGGGGCGGGGGGTGCGGACCGCACCGGGTGACACCATTTAGGGGGTGACACAAAGGCAAAAAATAGCAAAATATATAGAGAAAAAGTTGAGGGGGTGGGGGTGCAAATCGAAAGTTTGGGGGGGGGGGTGCAAATCAAAAACTTGAAAGTTTGTCCCCGGGAAGGGTCGCAACGCCTTTGGGGGGGGGGGGTGACACCATTAAGTGCCGCACCGGGTGACACCCGACCTCGCTACG